CAATTAAGGAGATCTGCAATGTAGATTATCTGATCCTTAAGTACCTACTTTATGGGTCCTCTTTTGTTAGAAGTTCCAAAGGTTCTGACCCCTTCGGATTTTCGTGCAACAGAATAATCATGTGAAATTTGTGCATGATACTTTTGTTTAAAAGTTTTCTTCTATGTCTGTGTTCATGCTACAGAAGTATCAGAACCTTCTTGTTCTGGACATTTCAAATCTGTGCCAGCAAGCACAAAATGTTCAGAAAGGGGTTTTGGTTTGAAATTCAGAGTCTCATCAATTTTCTTTGATGGTCCTAAATACCCCAAGCCTCTGCTTCCATTTCTACTAACACCATAGATCATTAAAGCCATTTTGCTTCTATCTATGATTTTAGTAAGATAATGTTGAAAATATATATCATATTTGATTACTTCGTCAGTAACAGATGTGTTAGAGAGAAAATCTTCTTCTAATATAGACACTTTACTTTCTAGAGCAATGTTTGATTTTTGTAAAACAAATAGTTTTTCATTTAAAACAAAAACACTTTGCTCATCTATAGTCGTGTTCTCTGAAGTAGCCACAACATTCTTTTTTAAGATTTTGGGTTTACTTAGAAGATATTGATACCTTTTCGTTAATTTAGTTAAGCCAATTTCAAGTTCAGAACGAGATAAAGAAGAAAGTACGTCTTTGTCGTCATCAGAGTCTAACTCATAATTAATTGTCAGTTTATCTTCTGATGTTGTTTCTCCCCAACTGGTCCTGGCTATGAAAGCCATGTTTGCATGTTCTTCATCAGAATCTTCATCTTCTGATTCTGAATCATCCCATGTTGCCATGAGACCCTTCTTAGCTTTGTAATCCTTTTTATGCTTTTCATCTTTCTTAAGCTTTGGATAATCATTTTGGTAATGTCAAGGCTCGTTGCATTCAAAACAAGTTATTGTTTTCCAGAAGCATTTCTCTGACCAGAAGTGGATTCACCTCTTCGACATGTCCTTCTTTGACCTCTGAACTTGCTTTGTCTGTGCTTCCAGATTTGACTTATTCTTATGGATATTAAGGAGAGTTCATCATCATCTGAATCTTCTTCAGATTCATCCTTAGCTTGATAAGCCTTTGTTTTCCCAGACGTATACTTTAGAGCAACTGATTTTACCCTCTTTTGAGGTTCATCTTGTTCCATATCTATCTCATGACTTCTTAAAGAGCTAATCAGCTCCTCAAGAGAGGTGTTATTCAGATCCTTTGCCAATTTTAAAACAGTTACCATTGGTATCCATTTAACAGAAAAAATTCTGATAATCTTTTTAATGTGATCTAAGGTGGGGTAACCTTTGTTCATAACCTTAAGTCTTGCCACAAGAGTGTGAAATCTTGAAAACATTGTTTCCACAGATTTGTCGCCTTCCATCTTGAAGGCTTCATACTTTTGAATTAAGGCCAAAGCCTTTGTTTACTTTACCTATGAGTTGCCTTCATGTGTCATCTGAAGAGAATAAAAAATACACTTTATAATCTCTCTATCTGTGATTTTCTCATATTCATTATATGAGATAACACTTAGAATAATGGTTCTTGCTTTGTAGTGATTTCTGCATACTTTCTTTTGTGCTTCAGTCATTGTACTTCTTGCAATCTTATGACCTTTATCATCTATTGGGTGAGTGTATCCATAAACTACCAAGTGCCTTAGATCCAAGTCATATGCTAGAAAGTAACTTTCTATTATATCCTTCCAATAGTCAAATTTCTTCCCATCAAACATAGGATTTTTTGAACTATATTAATCTCTATCATTATCCCTATTATCAACAGTGGAAGTGGATGTACCCATGGGTTTTTCACACACGCTGGATCAGTACTGGACACTGTTAAGTGTTGATAAAAATTCAAACTTTTTATCTTCTTAGAATCAGAGCTCTGATACCAATTGAAGGTGTGAAAAAACAAGAAAGGGGGAGGGGCTTGAATTGGGTTTTTAAAACAAAACTATTGTTTTAAAAATATTCCCCTTTAAGTTAAAATGCTTTTTCCTTCACTCTTGATAATAAAAATAAGTAAGAACAGGAAGTAGAGAAAAATGTATGTTTATACTAGTTCACTTGAAAATTACCAAGCTAGTCTAGTCCACCTGCCAAGGTGATTTCGTCTCACTCAATCAAGGACTTAATTCATTATAACCAAATTGATTACAATTTACACAGGCTACTCTCAAGTGACTAACAACCTCTAGACTCGCAAGACCTAGACTTCTTAAGGATTCAGACCTATCCGGTCCCTTAAGGAATATCAACTAATAATCAACCTGATTATTACAATGCACAAGCTACTCGCAAGTGACTAACAACTTCTAAAACTCACAAGCTCTATACTTCTTAAGATTACAGACCTACCCAGTCCCTTAAGGAATATCAAACAACAGTTTGTATACAAGTTTGTTTACAAGAATGTTGCTTCTAAAAAGATGAGTATGTAAACTATTTTATGAACAATGACTTAAGAATATGAAAGCAATGAAAAACGTTTTCGCGTGACTATTTCGTAGTTGGCCGCTTTCTTTCTTAGTCTTTAAGCCTTTATATAGCCATTGTCATAATGTATCCATTGAGGGATACTCTTTGAATTTCCAGAAACATTGACAGCTTGAACAGTAACGTGGGGGAGAAGATCGTGCGACGCGTCCGCCCTTTCATGGTAGTGGAATAAAACTTTGATTATACCATGTACTATTTGTACGATGTTAATGTTATCTTCTTTCCTTCTGCACTTCAGAGGCTTTTGCGAGCATGAGTTTAGAAGCGAGAACATAACATCAGGTCATTAGAACTTCAAGTCTTCAGATTCTTCAAAATAGCGTCTTTAGAGTCTTCAGCACTTGGTTATGAGAACCTTTTCTTTGAACCTTGGGTCTTTAGAACTTCAAGTCTTTAGAATCTTTAGACCTTCTGTCTTTTAGGGTCTTCAACACTTAGTCTTCAGAACCCTTATCTTCAGAACTTCATAAATAGAAACATAAGCTTTCATCATCTAGACTTCAGTAGAAAATTTGTCTTTAGATCTTATAACTTTGTTTCTTGAAATACATTGTCTTTTAGAAACGTGAGTCTTCAGCATTTGGACGTAAGTAAAAACTTCTGTCTTCAGATTTTCTGACTAGTTTCCTTAGAACATGTTATCTTTAGAAGCTTGAGTCTTCAACATCTAGACATAAGTAACAACTTTTGTCTTCAAACCTTTTGATTGGTTTCCTTAGAACAAATATCAGAGTTTACACTTCAGAGCTTTCTAAGTGTCTTGCTACTGTTCAATAGAACTTATGTAGTGTAGAAGCGAAATCATTTTTGTTCTAATGTCTTGGCCATGCCATCCATCAGAAGTAGAACCTGTTTGTTAAGTATTTAACAATAACAAACATTAGTACAACAAAATTGTTCATAAAATCATACTCATTTGTTATCATCAAAACTCAGAGATAATATTGTAGAACCAAATCTTATTCTTATAGATCTGACTAATCACAAGAGCAGAATCTCCATATACTTCCAAGATCTTGATTCACAAATCAATATCAGCTTCTAACCCAAAGATACAAGCTTCATACTCGGCCATATTTTTGGTGCAACCAAAGCAGATTCTGGTAGTGAAAGAAATATAGAAACCTTCAAAAGAAGTAATTACAACACTGATTCCATTACCTAATGCATTGGAGGCACCATTAAACACTATCGTCCATCAGGGTCCTGGTTCGAGTCCTTCCTCTGGGCTGGTGTAATACCCCAAATTTGTCCTACCCTTTCATTTTATCTAGCTTATGCATCTCGCGTATTGAACTAACATGCACTCCATTAGGTCATTTAACACATCATGCATCATTAATTAATAAATGTAGCATGAGATCAGGGTTCCACTAGTTAGGGTTTTTCTCCATGGCTATGATGGTTCTCATCTTCACTCAGGCTGAATCAATTGGTTTCACATTAACTATGGTTTATGGAGCTAGGGTTTGTATTCTTGATTATTGTGAACTTCTTCCCCATCAAGCTACAAGTTTCTCTTCATCAAGGGACTTCAAGAAGCATTTTAAGTAGGGTTTGGTCATTCATTGGTACATCTCAAGAAGATTAGGGTTTATATCCTGTCTTAGTTCAGTTTGTCAAAATTTCGCCTGAGGTTCATTGGTTTTTATACTGCAAAAGGTGTTGCCATTATAGTGCTCAAACACCTTTGTGGATTGTACTTTTAGTTCCAAAGTTATAGGGATTGAAGATTTGAATTGGTATAGATTCGTTATTATGGAAGTACTCATTCAAGTGATATTTGATGCCATGAGTTCAAGTTTGCTCGAGTTTATCAAAGATTACATGCATTTGTTCGTGGTGATCTTTTCTGGAAAAAAAACAAGTTATAAATTTGAGGTTTAAGGTTCAAAGTGCGATTTCAAGTGTTATTCGTCATTATTTAATTTTATCCTCAAAGTTCATCATCAAATTCATTTAATGCATGTAAGAAGTTAGTGTCAAAATATTTAAGGTCATGATTTGTCAAGGGATTATTTAAGGCTAAGGTAAGAAGATCATTCAAGGGATTCAGGTCTAATATCATTTCTAAGATGCAAGACATTACAAAATCCATTCAAGCTACACTCAAAGGAAAAGACTTGGAAGTTTCAAAGGAAAATGGAGGGAAACAATGGAAAGGAGTATTTCTAAAAAATAAATGTAATGTTTCAAATCGCCTCATTACAAAACAAAATATTCATCACACTTTCAAGCCATATCCAAATTTCTTACAAGATTATTCACTACTTGATTCAGGAAAGTATTCCTATTACAAAGTCCTAGCCTTTACATTACACCATCTAATCCCATCATATTTCAAAACTCAAAATCCTATACAAGTACACCAAGGTGCATTACACAAAAAATATAGTTGCATCAATTGTCCCAAGCCTATTTTATTCAATTTGTCCTAAAATTCTTGTCTTGATCACATTGATTTGATATTATCTTTTATCCATCTTTCAATCCAACCAAACTCCATGATACCTTGCCTTTCATCCTTACACCATCAAATTCCAAACCTGCAAACAAAACAAAGTCCATACCGTACCCTGTTTGCAACAAATACCAAAGAAACCAGTTCATCCCTAAATCAATACAAAATCAAAATAGTCTAAACATTTTTGAAATAACCTTGAAACTACTATAACGGAAAGCCTCCTCATGCCTTGTTAAGCCATTCAAGTATCACAGTCCTATTCAAGAAGGAAATACAGAGGAAAGGGAATTCAGAAATACATCCATAACAAATTTAACTACCTCTTCATAATAACAGCCAGTTCTGTAGAATTAAATTTCATAAATTCTAACCAATGCTAACTACCTATAACAGAAGAATAACAGAATTTCTCTAACTAACATCTAACCGAATTCCATTTCAACTTTAACCTCCTAACTGCTTCTAACAAACTTCTAGCAGAGATCTATAACAAGAAAAACATAACAAATTCAAAGGGGGGATTCATTCACCAGAAAAATTCATAGAAAAACACAGAATACTCACCTTTCGACTCTCTCTCTCGGCAACTCCTCAAGATCGTTCATCATCTTCAACTTTCCCGCAAAATCTTCACCACTCTTCACTTCTGCAGAAGAATCACCAAAAATATTTGGAAATCTCTCTCCACTCTCTTTGCATTCACACTCCATCATTCATCACCAACCTTCATCTTCTCTGCAACGCTGCATAATCTTCATCACACTTCGTGATTCCTTCAAGCTCGCTTCAGTTCTCATCATTTATCAACGCATCTTTTTCTCTCTCTACAACAACCACCAAAAATGATTATCACTTCTACAACTTCTCTTCCATAATCAACAACGCGCATCTGCAATCATAACAACATCCAATCCATATCCATCATCTTCAAGCATCATCCACAATATTCGGTAAATATCATCATCTCCACCACAATATTTCTAAGCTTCCTTATCAATCTGCATCATGTAACAAGGTTTGTATTATCACCTTCATCCAAATTGCAACCACAACTCATAACTCAGAAAATAGAATCAAACCCGAGGAATCCAGAAACATCGAATCAGAAAGATGAAGAAAGATTGCATGGAGAAGACGCATTTACTAAACGGCTGAATCGAAGACTGGGGTGAGCGAAGGTGACGATCGAAGATTGAGCGGAAATGATCGGAAGCAGATTTGAAGTCCAAATTAGAGAAGTAGAATAGGAATGGCGGCGGTATTATGTTGATCAGAGGATAATTTTTTTGTGGCATCAGAGGGAAGAAGAGAAAAGATCTCTGTTCCACGAAGAAGTTGAACATGCACAACTATAACCCTAAATTTTCAAATTAGGTGATGTTGTGGATTCAGATTGATCATGTTAGAAGTGGACCAAGTTTTTTCCTTTGCATTAAGCCCACTGTGGATTTTTTGGAGAAGCCTTAGTTACAAACAAAAAAAAAAGCCCTCTTGGGCTCTTTTCAGGATGGGCCTTCAACACCTCATTCTGCTACAACACCAATTGTTCCTAAGCCCACTCTATATTTTTGGCAGCTTGGATGTTTGTGAACAAAAAAAAGGCAATGGACTCTATCCGGATAGGCCTAGCGCCCAGACTGCATCATACTACATGGAGTTCAGTTTGTAACCCCCCTTGGTCCTCTTTTTTTCTATTTTGTAGTTTCTTTTGAACGATTTTGATAATTGTTTAGATTTATTTGAACTTCTTCTTCATATGATAAAAATAATAAAATCAATAAAGATTTTTTAGATTTATATTTGATTTTAGGAATTAAATCAGAATTATTCGATTACTTAAGATTTTGTAATTCACCTTTGCTTGTTGAGATTGAGTTTTATGCAGGTTTATTATGTGATATGCGGATATGCTTGAGTTTCTGATTGTGATTTATTTTCACGTCGATGATGCTTCGATGCTTATTCCGATAATTGGATTTCTGATTATTTCTCTTTGACTTGGTGAAGCTTACTCGAAGTTTTCTGGGTTTCTCTGCTTTGCTTGTTGTGCTACTAACTTTTGTTTGTTTGGTATTTTCTCTTCTTTATCTCATTTCAGCACTTTACTGCTTTCTAGATATCATGAGGAGTAGGAACTTTACTGTTTTCTGATTCCATGAGAAGTAGGATAGAGATGTATGACGGGGGTCTCCGTTATTGATCATGTCAGGAACCCCTCTAGTTTATTTAAGGACTCGTTTAGGGAAATTTTGCATTATGTGCCACTGTGTTCTACTTGTGTGTGGTTTGTTTAAAATCCTACCTTTGTGTAGGTATTTTACAGGTGTATTTACAATTGTGCTCGCATATGTTACAGATGATAAGTCCTCAAAAGGAGCCGTGCAAAAAGGTTTAGTAATTAACCCCCACAATTTCGTTTGTGTCATCCTTAGCTCGTGATGCACCACAATGCTTTGGAGTTGTGCCTACTCTAGTTATCGAGTCGTCAAGTGGAAAGGGGTTTTCAAATCAAACCCTCACACTTTGTTAAGAGTTTGCATTGGCCGATGCTGACACTTTGTGATTGTTCATATTTCCTTCTGTCTTCTACCTCAATCTTCTATATCTTGGTTAGGTGTTCAGTCGCTCTAGACATCACATTTTTGTTTTACATCCTATTCCCGCTTGTTTTCTTTGGGTGTTCCGATCCCCTTAGCTAAATCATTTCTCTTCTTTTATATTTCACTCCCGTTTGTTTGTCTCGGGTGACCCGCTCCCCTTGACTAAAGCAATTCACTTCTTTTCTTTACCATTTTATATGTGTGCTCTTTTGAACTTGTTTTCTCACCTGCTTTCTATACCATGTTCCCTTAAGATGTGTTTGTTCCTTTCAGATGCATGTTAGACTTTAGGTTGAAAACCATGTATGCTAACATTAGGTATATGTTTCCCTTTTGTTAATCCAAACCTTAGAACAACCATTGTATGATAACATTAGGATTAGGAATAGGCTAGTCTCCCATAGACTCTTTTCTTCCCCTTTTTGCATACGCATTAAAACTAAAACTTTCTTTTTCTTAACAAATCATTAAGAATGTAATCACACTTAAACCCTTTTTCAAGGTACAAAAGCATAAACCAATCAAAAGAGGCATCTTGCCTTGAGGGTGTAACTCAAAACCATTTTCACGTAAGGACATGTTAATTTACTTCTGTGCCAACGCGTGAGTCTCCAAAGGTCGAGCTGTGGAAAAAGGAGAAATTAACATTGTTCATAAAAAACACAAAACAAACAAAACATGTGAGACGAACTACGGTAACTCTGATTCCTCAAAAAGGATAAGTAGGCATTGGTGTTGGGCCCAAGCGAACACAACTTTATTTTACCTACATTATTTTCCATTTTCTTTTGCATGCATTCTTTCTCAATAGTACAGTAAGCATAAATTAGACACACCCATAAGATAGATAACAAGAGTGGATACTGTAGAGTACTACGGGCGTGTGGGGTGCTAATACCTTACCCTCATGTAACCTACTCCCTTACCCGATCTCTCGGTCACAAGACCGTGACTTCTCCCTTCTCAGTTTTTCTCGATGTTCACCTATCCCTTCATGTGGGATAAAAGACATTTGATGGTTACTTCATTGTTTGATGATTTTCAGTCGATTGTTTCAGCTGGCGACTTCACTAGGGACAGGTAAACTAAATGTTGGTCCATCCCAGAGTTACTCCTAGCTCTTGTTTTCTTTTTTTTTTGGTTTATTTATATGCTTTATGGTTTATTCATCCATACATGATTACCTGAGTATATGTATGCATTACATTTTGTTGTTTTCCATCATATACTACCGCTGTACTGGATCAGTTTCACTGTTGGGGTGGGTGCTACTATGAGGTAAAAGGCCTAGTACCTAGGCCGGAGTGCACTAGGAACAATAGAAATAGAGTGGAACACGACAGATAGAGGATGTAGATTACCCTAGACGGTTGTGTCTTCCATGCTCAGATGAGGTTTTAATGAGGTCCTATCATTATCACATAGGTGTACGGTGATAGTATTCTCAAACGAACCCATGATTTTGAGTTACCATTGGATTACCCTGACCTAGTCTTTACACGTGAGTGGGGAGGGGATAATCTTTACAGGTACAGATGGTGACTATGTTCAGATGATGACCGTATGTTCTGTTGGTGACTATGGGGTTCTCGAATTTATTTTCTGAGTTCCTGACTTGTTTATTTGGAGGTACAATCGGTCCTTCAATCTTGGTATTGCCATCATGTTCAAAAAAGGCTCAATAGTATCCGGTGTTCCAGAAGCCTTGATCCCGTAAAATTGATGATCTACATGATACTTGGTTCTTGTATGTGCAGAAGTTATGTCGGACCTTTGATTTGGTGATACTCATATGGTTCAGAAATAGTGCAGCAATCATATTTAGGAATGATGGAACTTTGATCCCATGTCTTTACATACATAACATGGTTAACCACTTGCTTAACATACATGTTCTGTTATTTTCAAGGAATCATATTTGTAAGTCTTATGTTGAACTTTTCCATCCCTTAACTGTGTAAAATCAAAATCAAAGCATGTAAATTAATTGGAAATGACGGAACATGGCATGGCATGCATTCATGCACCCCATGCATATTCATGCATTCATAATAAGTACTCAAAGATTGGGGATTCTCATTCAGACTTGGTATTCTCTTTAGAGTTACAAATTTGGAATTCTTACTGTACATGTTCAGAGATTGCTTATGGAACAACTCCGTGTGGTATACATGCAAGCTTTGGACCGTGGTCAGAAATTCTTTAAGAAGGAAGATAATCGATTAAAGACTCAGGTGAGTCGGGTCATAAAAGCTCTGATGATGATATCAACAATCCTACACTTACTACCGCAGCAGAGGTTCTCTATTCTCCTCATCTTTTGGAAATTTTTGTAAACCATGGAGTGCTGCATGATCTTGAATTCTTGAAACATCTTATTAGTAGATGGTTCCCATTTACTATGTGAATTCAAGAAACTTGTTTTACCAGCAAGATCAGAATACGCCTGAAGAAGATTTAATCTTATATCAGTGCTTCATTCTCATTGGTTTCCATACATGTTTTATGTTCATTGGGTTAAACCCCGTACTTCAGTACTGTCTATAAATTCCCTTCCAAATCATGATACCAACATCAGTTGTGGTTACCACACCAGGGCATCTGACTATTCAATAAGGGGCACTTTCCACAGCTTTGCGTTCCCTGATTTGTTCGACAACATCCAGTCTTTATTCCCCAAGTGAATTCGTGGGACAAAGCTTTTAAGAAAAGAAAAAAGAAGCTAGATGTGCATGTTGATATGATCCTAGCGTATCACATCCAGTTATTTCTTCGCCTAGTGGAAGTTCAATTGGAAGCTCTGATATTTTGGGTCCTCCTCCCACAAACATCTCTTCTGATTGTGATGCACATGCTAGATGTATTCCATATTCTGGGGCACCCGGTTTTGATATTGAAGACTGTAAAGGGGCTAAAGTATAAAGTCCAACACATATCTGGCGTCTCTTCCAAAAGACCAGTTCCTATTTGGCCAACTGCCAGACTCTTTCTCACCAGTTGGATGTCTCTTCTGATATGATAAATGCCAAATTATATTGTTTCTTTGTGGCATAAGAAGCTTGGTGATTCTCTTTGTAAATCATTCATTTGTCCTCCTGAAATAATCTTTTATGCATGTTATTTAGGGGCACCTGACCATTCGATTGAAGATGTAATTTTATCCAGAGACAAGGTCCAAGATGAGATCAATTTTAGAGACT